GACCCTGAGCTCTTCAAGAATCGTCGTGCTGTATGCCAATCTGACTATTCGTGGGAACAGAACGGGTCTGATAATCGGGCCAGTGTTATTTCGTTTGCCATGTCGGAAAATGGTCGTGACCGCTCCATTGATGATTTTTCTACCACTAACAGCGTCATCTCCCATGACGGCCAACAACTCGAGAGTCTCAGAAACAGCTCCAACCGTCTTTCATATGTATCATCCGGTCAACGAACAATGGTCACTTCTACCACATCTTCATCACCAGCCTGCTCTCCCACCGTGGATTCTTTCCCCCAAGGACTAGAAGACATAGGACATTATACCCTTGACACCAACACCACTGAGACGAGGATGCGGTTCAACGGATCCGCAATTGCCGACCGAAGGCAGTCTCTTCAACCCGTACACCCTTTTGCTGAAGTAAAAGGTGGACAGCCTGGGCAAAGGCCTTTATCCACGGCATTCTCGCCCACTGATAGTATTGGGCCACTGTCAGCTGGAAGCCCGGCTCCTAATTTCAGCGTGCCTTCCAGCCGCAGGTTCTCGACTAGGATTACGACATTCGAGTCTGGAAGCCCGTCTACCACCCCGCGAGATGTTGAGATGATGTTGAAGATACCATCCCGCAGACCACCTACCACGTCGCGAGTTTCTCGCCCCTTATCCATGGTTGAGGATCAACCTCTCTCTTCCCAGCGAGAAACATTTGATCAAGTAGAGATCGCACCTTCTCAATCAGAGCGAGGCTCTGTGGCTCTCGACGGCCGGGTGCTGGAATTCGATCCCACCAAACCTGTACCGTCCGACACCGAGTTCAAACTACAGAAACCGCCCCGGAACGTGAAACCCCCCAACGGCCCACGCAGACTCGCTAGCTTAGGGTCACTCGGCAAGCCACGCGAATCTTTCTACGGCACGGATGCTTCAGTCGAACCGAGCCGGATGCGCAGCCTCCGGTCAGCCCCTCTCCGGTCATTTGAGCTGGAACCTTCTCTGTCCACATTGGATAGGCATCAACGAGGGGGTGCTTTTGCGTCCCTGCCGTCGCGAGTGGCCAAGAGGTCTAGCATGCTACCGTTCGTGCCCGCGTTTGGTAAATCTGAATCTATTTCCGAACCCCCTGCGCCTCCCCCTACCATTCCTCTTCCTCCTGTTCCAACTCCTTCCCACATTAAGGCCGAGGCCAAAGCCCTGGCACTACAAAACCGCCGAAGTATGCCGCAGTTGGCAGGCGGACCTCCACCAGCTCCGCCTCCAACATGCGCATTGCCTCCAATCCCTCAACAAATCTCACAGAAGCTTCATGCCAAGTCATGACACCTTTCACATTAGCCCCAGCGGCACTTTTCCTAATCTATTTATCTGCGCCATAAAACTGGTCTTCGGTCGAAGCACTACTCGACACCTTCTCCTTTTTCCCCCAATTCAAAATTATACTAATGGCATCCTATTGCTGACGACTAAATGTATCAACACCCTCACCCTCAGCCTTCCTTTCTTTCCCTCCAATGTCTTTTCTACCCCGCTGTTATATTTTACGAATGGAAGGACTGTCTTGCATCTCAAGGGTGGTTTCCAACGAATGACGATATGCGAGAACTAAACCAGCCTTATCATGCGTTGGTGGAGTTTGTTCTTTTATTATAAATGTGGCTCTTTTCTCCCATTTGTACTGTTTACCCTTCTATCTCTCGGCTCGCTGGACCGAGCGCTTCCCCCACAGGCTTACCTTTTTCCTTCCTGGACTACGATACCCTTTAATGGTTTAGATTATGAGCATATTTAGATGACTGATCTGAAATGATAGACCTAAGAGCTTTCATTAGGTTCTTTTGCCGTCCGCTTTCTTGTTCCGTGCATGAGATCCTGAATGTTCATGTCCTCGCTGCCAAGGGTTATGGGAGCTGTTAAGTGCAATATACACCCCGGGATATTGACTCAATCAATGTTGATCATGAATATGTCGGAGGGGTGCAGCGCATGAATAGGGTTGCAGATCCATCTCCATCTGAGACTTAAAGTTGGGTTGTGATGCAACCCCACAACCAAATTCGGTGGGTCCAGGTGTATCACTTCAATGCGTAGCCTGAGACGAACTCCCCAAGTTTCAAGGCAACAAACGGATTTGCGTAGAACAGTTCAAGAGCCAGTTTCAGCCATGGGGGTGGAGCCATCCCAGCCTCGCGGTTTTATGAGAGGTTGGGAGGGGGGCTGGTTCAAACCGCCAAGGATCACGGGGGTGCTATCATCGAGCTGCCGAGCATGTTCGGCGTCATCCAAACGTCAATGGAGGCAGCCTCCGACAGCGGCCAGTCCATGTAGCGATGGAATTCCCGGGGCAGCCCGCGCGCCACGTTATGGACCCAGGAGGCGACGATCAACCCCCTGAAGGGAAAGCTCTCGATGATGGCCTGGAGCGTGAGCAGGCCGATCTTGGTCTCGATGAGGAAGAAGTGCGCCAGGAGGATCTGGGGCACCGTGCTGGAGGGATCGATGAAGCTGGTGAAGTTGTCGTGGTCGACGCCGTTGAAGATGTTGTACATGGAACAGAGCGAGGTGAATGCTGTGTAGGGGTGAGCCTTGAATACTCCCTCGCGGGTGGATTTGAATTAATGGCAGGAATCGAGACGAGCTTACCTTCAAGAGGGCACTTGATAGTGAGTTCTAACACACCTTCTAGAGCGTCTAGATATGTCCCCTCTAGGCTGCCATCTGGGCAAAATGGCCGTAGGGCATATAATGACTTGAGGCCATCGATAGCAAAACTAGCCAGCCTTTGATCTTTTGCCTCTGGTCGGTCCTCGTTCATCTCAATGATGGACTGCTGATGTGCTTCGGCGCTGAATCCCTGAAATACAGACTCGCTGAATGAGGGCATCCCCGTCCCGGGAACCACGGTACATCCTCGTATCATGGCAAGAAAATCAACCATGCCGTCGGGCATATAGGAGGACTGAAATGTAAGAGCCATTAGTGTTGCAAACCGAGCATCGCCCTCCGCCATTGAGGCACATGGCTTGCTGAGAGCAGTATTTAGAGAATTGATAGCCTGGACACGATGCGAAAGTGCGTGGGCAGAGTAATCGATCTCGTTCCGACTTGCCAGAGTCAAGTGTGAAGCCGCCAAGCCGAGGACTGCATGAACAAGGTAATCAAACTATCGATAATCTTAGCCTGGTAATCATACAGGAGGTTGATGCTGATCCCCAGTGCTGGGTAGGTGGACTCACGCCATGAGAGAGCGCAGCCATGTCTCTCCAGATCTCTTTTCCGCCGATTGGCAGGGGTGGGTATGCAGCGAATAGAAAATGATGGAAGAACCTCAGATCCTCGATAGTGAAGCGTGTTGGCGACGACGAGAGGGGCATTGTCATTGGGCTGGACGTGTGTGAGGGCCGGGACGCTGGCACCAGGCCCCCCTCGGGAGGATAGGTGCAGTTCAGGCCAAGGCGAACGCAGTTGTTACATCGGGGCAGAGTCTCTGGGCACTTGACCCTTCTCCTCTTGCAATTGAAGCATCCTCTCCTGGATTTGGTGTGGCCTTTGCAGGGCCGGGGCCTGCGCTTGATCTGGCCGACCTCGACCTCGCCCGGTTCATCGCTATCGCGAGGCGAATCGGAGTCCCGAGTCTCCTTCATACCTGCTTGGAACCCCGAGTCACTGCAGTTGTCGCCTGTGAAATACGATCCTTGATTGATGGTGACCCAGATTAACCGAGTTGTTTGCGATTGATGGTTTTAAAGCACAGCGCTGTCCACGTAATTCGGGAGTAGTCCCCGAGGCCGCTCAAGCTTATGGTGCTTTTGTCCGAGACAGGGACGAGCTCTGATGCAATCTCATCGAGGCTGAGGAATGCTGGCGTGGATGGACGACGGGCAAGTCGATGCTTAGCCTCTCCAACGTGCGTATACGAACAGTAACGAGGCGGCATTAGCGCAGCAGCATTGTCCAATCAAGGGAGGTTTGCCATCGATCACCGTCAGCCTACTCATCACATTCCGTAATCTTGTAAGAACTACCCGATGGTGATGGTTTATCGCTGTCACAAGGGACTGGGACCGTATTCGGCTCCATTATGTCTTGGATCTTGAAGCACTATAATGAGTAGCTTTCATTGCGCGGTGCGATCTGATAGAGACGAGCCAGCTTCCTGGATAGTTCAAACTTGGCCTTGTCAGCGTAGGACGGCTGTCGCTCCCGAATCGCCAAGAACTGGGTAATATAGTATCAAAGAGCTTGATATAAAGCTTTTTTGGTCTTCCCGTCCGATCTCCATATTCATTAAATCCGAGCCGCCGTGTAAACGCAACCAAACAGAAAGCTGGGTCCACTCTCGGTGAGGGTAAAGGACCAGCGGGATTCGATAGGCGTTTGATTACTGGTAGATCAAAACTAAAGTGCTGGCGGTTAGTGGGGACTACGGGCCGCTGGGACAGGCAGGCGCCTCAACTGAGACGGAAGAGTCATTACTGGAATTCGTAAATAGCTTAATTTTCATTAGGTATTTATCACGAAGCCATCGCATATATCAGATGTCCTTCTATTCCATTGTAGATACTAAGGTGGAAGGCTCAAGGCGGGAAGGCAGACGGGAGCGGAGGCGGGAGGAAGCGCACCAGAAATGACCAGGGAAGGCCATCAATATTTGTGGGCTGCTCGCCGTTGCCCCGCAGCCAGGTGAGGGATCGTCCTCATGTTGCCATCCATCCAACCACTCGACATCTGCATGCAGCTATCCCCTTTGCTGTGCTTTCGAGGCTGCCGGCCAGTGGAAAGTCACCTCACGACCTGATCTGCAACTACGCCCGCCATACGATGTTCACGCCTGGCTCTTGCTAGCTTCCCGCCGCATTCGCCCTTGCAGCAGACAGAACTCCATCAACCTGTGCGACCCGTTCCTTGCGCTCGACCTATCAACCATTGACACAAACATACCATCATACAACGACTCAAACCTCAGAAAAGCACCCTTTAGCCCCCCTCACTCCGGGCAAAGGATGCCGGCTATACAAATCGAAACCACGGCCGCGGCCCTCGTCGCCGCCGCCAACGATGCCCTAGCCGAGCGCGACGACAGCGACAACTTCAAGGTCATCCCCTCGACCTACGGCGGCCTCTACACCTCCCTCAACCCGGGAGTGATCGCGGGCATCGTCCTCGGCTCCGTGGCAGGCTTCCTCCTCCTCCTCTTCATCTGCTACTCGGCCCTCGGCTTCGGGCCCCCCGTCTTCTCCAAGTCCCAGGGCTCAATGGTCGAGGTTCGAGTCCGCCGCACGACATCCCGCGCAGCCTCGCACTCCTCCCGCCGCACCTCCCGCCACACCCGCTCGCCGAAGCGCCGCCCGGGAGGGCCCAGCATAGTCAGCGCCGACTCGTACGAGGTGCGAACCTACGAGCGGGTTCACGTCGTGCCGCCGCCGCCTCCTCCCCCCAACGCGAGGGAGCCCATCATCGTGGATGCGGCCCCGTCAACGCGCCAGACGCTGACGGACTCGGACTCGGACTCGGCGTCGGATTCTGACTCGGAGGACGACGAGGTAGTTGTTATTGAGGAGAGTAGCACCCCTCCTAGGCGCAGGAGGGAGCGCAGCTATGACAGGAGACGCCGGAGCCCGAGCTACTCCATTGATTGATCAACACCCTACACCAGCTATTAAGCCGGTTAGCTTTCTCTATCGAGTGTATGTTTCTGCGCAGAGCAATTAGATGAAGAGATGTGTGTGACGGAACAACGACAATATACAAATCATTGGATATGACCACAAAGGCGTTTTGATATATTCATGGGGATTTATATACCATTTCATAGAAACGATAAATGTGATTCCGGACCTTGTTGTTCCTATTTTTCAACCATCCTCTTCTGTTCTACGAAATAGTTATCAGATGTGCAGTGTCTCGTCTCTATAATCCTCGTATTTCGCCCAAAATCTGCCTTTCCAATTGAAAACGAAAACTCCCGTAGCAGAGCGTAAAAACTAAAGCTATATATTCATTTCTTGACATGTGCCGCCGAAACAAGGGTATCTTGTTACTTTTTCCTGCCATCCTAACATATATATATATATATATCCTGCTCGAAAGATCATCACGGGGTGGACCAAATATTTCCCACCAAGAAACACGCCTAAAAACAAGCTCCCTTTCTTCGCTGGACTCGCTCTCTTGGCAGAGCCCGGCCGCCTCTGCTGAGAGACGGGCACTGGGCTCACATGCCCATTCCTCCACCGTTACTATTCCCGCCCTGCGGCCCGCCGAAGAAGAAGCTGTCAAAAGGATTCATCTGCTGCTGCCCCTCGCCGTACTCGTTGGGTACCTCCCAGTTCAGGCCGAACCCCAGATCAACCTGGCTCTGGTCCACGTTGCCGAATGCTCCGTTCCTGGCACCGAGATCCTGGAGAAAGTCCATCGAATGGGCGTCGGGGTAGTCCATGGTACCTTGGAGGCCAAATTGTTGACTCATGGTGTGGTTGCCGGAGCCTGAGGTGTTTGCAATCGGGTCCAAGCGGCGTCCCCCAGAAGCCATGGAGGGGCCGGAGACCTCTCGGTTTGCTGCTATACGATCCGCCGGGCTCTGTCCACTACGAGAGGACATTCCGTAGTCTGTCTCGAAGTTCTTGTTTACGGATACTGGCGGCGACGGGCGTGATACATCGCCTGCTATGGAGAGTGTGGGTGATGATAGGTTATCTGAAAGGGAGAGATCAAACTGGAACTGCTGCTGATCCGATGGCCGGCTTCTGTGGCGTGCCGGATGATGCCCCGAAGTGTCTGAGGCTGAGCCCCAATTGTTGGACTGTGTCCTTTGTATTTGCGGATCGGAGAGGTTGCCAAAGCCGCCGTTCGCATTGGCCATTTTTATCGTTGCTCTGGCAGTCCGGTCAAATGCATCGCGGCAAGTCTCAGCCGGGGGGCATTTATCAATCATGTCTGTGAACACAGACTTGGCAGCAAGTACAGTGAAATCTACCTCGTCCATCGTCTAGAAATCAGGTTAGACTCAATACCAGAAAGGCATAAAACGGGGGTTGTTTAGTATTGTGAACGTACCAATCGACTTCGTACCAAGGGCGAGTGCCAAATAGCGTAGAGATATGATATGCCGGCTGTGAATAGGTGATGGGTAGAGAGGTATGTGTAACTAACGAGGCCACTGAGATGGAGTTGGCGGTATATGCGTAAGATCTTCTGTCCTGCCTCTGCCACCTTGATGTATATCCGATCTTCATCTTCTCGCAGCTCGGTGGTGGTAAATCCTCGAGGGCTGTCTACCTCATTTGAAGTGTTATATTCTCCCTCGAACATGGCAGGGACGCTCAAGCTTTGCCTGTAGAGCAAGATTATTGCTTGCCAATAGTTGAGCTCTAAAAACTCCGTAGAAAAGGCCACACCAGTCTCATGTCTCGTGGGTGCTGACAACTTCCAGTTCAGAAGCCTTTCATCAATACTCCGCCGCCAGGATCTGTATGAGTCAAACTTCACCAAGAACGGTGAGGGTAGATGAGTGGTGTGCATTTCCGGGTATACTATCCCTGTACTGTGCGCCCTTGCTATCTGTGTCTGGTTGTATTGGAGTACTTGCAGAATCTCAGACTGCAGCATGCGAAGTCGAAAGTAGTGATGTGCTACGTGCTTGTAGCTCGGGCGCCGCTCATCTGGTGAGGGCTCGATTATGCCGGCTGGCGTGATATAATCATCATCTAGCAGTGAAGGAAGCTCCATCGTAATGACCTGATCGCTGACTCCAAAAGGTCGACCAACACAGGTACTAACAAGTCGATCAAAAGAGTAGGTGCACCACCACAGCCTCCGTCTCATGTCACGTAACCAGAGTCGCCGGCCGCGCTCCTGCGCACTGCCCTCTCGTGGACGGTTTTCATTGCTTTGCTCGGCTTCGGAGACCTCTCCAAAAGTGTCCGAGTCGCCGCTGTCTTCATGATGTAGACCAAGGTCCACGGCTAGCCGTACAGCAACACCAATGATGTACCTGTGTTGAACACTTAGCAATCTGATTCCAGAAAGGGTAGCAAAAGAAACGGAGACAGAAGAATCGAGCCAAGGAGAGCAAAGTGCAACTTACCACAGTCCCGGAGGCACCGGACGAAGGAGTGCGAAGTTAGCGAGGAGAAGCACAGCCTGTAGAACCTCCAACCCCCCTCCGCTGTTACTCAGACACGACTCCAGGTGGACAATGGCACTCGCATGGTACTCCTCGGGTTGCGACTGGCCCTTGCTTGGCCCATCCCCCGAAGCCTCGGTCTTGACTGGCTCTCCGACGATAACTCCACACCCAATGGCAAACACCATGTTGAGCATGTACGATTCCCTCGCGCCGCACACCTCGGCAGGATTGGCGTACGCTCGCTCAAACATGTTCATGAATTCGCCCCGGTGCAGGATGGGGATCTGTGGGTTGGCGTGTTCAAAGTACAGTGTGACAAGCCGGAGCCCAACTTCGCGACTGGGGAAGGGAGCGGGCTTGATGGTAGGCTTCGTATGGAGGCCAAAGAAGGAATCGCGCATCGACGTGTGACCTCCTATACTGGGTTGGCGAGTCCCGGGGCGATCCGAGGATCCATTCTGGTCTGCCACCGAATATTGCACGGCAGCAAAAACAACTCGGGCGAATGACACCCCGGATGCGGATGCCAATGACCGAGGTTTTGAAGGACTGACGATATTGAGCATGGCCGGGCTCTGCTCCGACTTCTTTGGGCTCAGCGTATCAACAGATTGGTTGCGAGCATTTGAGAGCACCCGGTTCTCCAGTTCCACTGGATTGCTAAGCTGTTTCTTCTCGGCGGTCGAGGCGCGAGTCGTATCGTTGGAGGGACGGGAGCATGTGTCCAGGCTCTCGGCTGGAGGAAAGGCGATATCGTGATACTTGAGAAGGTTTTCGAGCTGTTCGACCCGGGTTTCGAGGTAATACACATAACTAATTAGAAGGCGAAATACGTCAGCATTTGTTCTTCTTCCTCCAAGATTTTCACCTTCACCGCATGTCCCAACCGTTCTCAATGAATCGTACCTGCGAGGAATCTCCTTCTTCGTGATCGGGTCGTACCCGACGCATGCGACACCAGCTTTGGCGCAGCTCGCACAACTCGGCAGCCTCTGGTCGCAACGGTTCTTGCGCAACCTACAGCGGTTGCATGCGCTCACATTGCGGAAGTTGCTGCTCTGCCCGCTCTTGGCCGCCTGGGAGCCGGCGCCAGCGCTCGCGGCCTCGCTCAGCTGGTCCGACGGGCTCGTCTGCCCATCGCGCGGTGAGGGATCGTCAAAGGAGGACTGTCTCTGGCGCTTGGCCGGCTGCACATTTGGCGAAGGAGGGCCATGCGAAGGCATAGTGTGATCGCGGGTGAGCGATGGAGGGGATTCGAGAATGCTGGGGTTGGTCTGGCCGGATGGCGTCAGCACATAGAGACACACACACGCGCACACACAAGAGGCCGCCGAAAAAGGCCGGGCGGGCTCGGCTCCCTACTCACATCAATTCGGGCACAGGGACAGTAAATGGGTACGTGGGCCGGTGTACGTATGAGCCGGCAGTTGGGATACAATTCTATCGTGGAGCCACAGCGCTTTGCCAATATGCCATTGTGCTGCTGCTCGGTGATGCAGCACGATCGGTGAGCGGGCTAGAAGGCAGCCTGGGTCGCAAAATAATCATGACAATGACGATGCGCTCGGGGGCAGGGCTCTTAACACAGCTGGTAATTGTTCGCGGGCTGCACGCGATCCGGGAGTCTCTGCTGCTTGGTTTGAGCCTCGCCCGGGTGTTTGCTTGCGTGAAGATCGTGGTCCGGGTCAGGTGCAGGGCAGGACGGACATAGGCCAATCCTCTGGGCAGGCCGGCACGGAAGTCCTGCAGTTGGTACTTACAGAGCACAGCAGGTTGGGGGTCCAGCTTTGCTGATAAGAAGATGGAGCCGATGCGCCGCCCCCGCACACCAACAAGGAGCGAGTCTGCAGAGGACCGGCCCTGGGGTTAAACTGTCATTGGCCTATCAGCAGCTCGTCTAGCCTCGGCAGCAGATTTCAGAGATCCAAGCTGATATCGTTGAGGGGGAGCCAACCAACGCATGCGATGACCAATCCAACGGTGCTGCTGCTGCTTATCGGTCGCCCGCTAAGTTAGCTCCCAAGATTGAGCTACCGGTAGCGATTAGGACCTACTTGATTTGGCTACGTAAGTAAATTGATCTTGATATTCCACAAATCAACCAGCAAGTCAACCATGGGACTCTCGGAATCTGCCTTCGTTCCCGCCTGTTAGACTTGGATGTTGCTGCTGTCTTCCCAGACTAATACTGATGAATATAGAATCTCAGGAAATTGACGTAAGAGGCCCAAATGATCTCTACAAGCTATCCATTTACTTCACTCGTTTTCATAAGGCACTCAAGATGAATTGCTTTGCTCAATCGCCTGCATTAATAGCCAAGTATCCCCGACCGCGTAGTCAGTATCTTGGCCAATCTTAAAAACCTATATCTGAAAATCCCAAAAACCAACCCCTTCGTTTACCAGGGCGAAAATTCGCCCACATGAAAGAACGCGCAACATGATGTTTTTTTTCCACCGCTACCGAGCTGACCCAAAAACCCCATATCTAGTTCCAAATGCTCC